TTTCCTAACTTTAGAATTAGATATTTAAATAATGAAATGTTCGAACACTTACTAGTAATTACCCTAGTGTTATTCATGTCAATACTCTTAGCAGATCAAGAGAAAATTTGGCATTTCTCTGTGTAGAAATTCATTTTAGTCAATCAAATTGGTCTCCCACTTTTTATACCAATTGATTATATTACTAGTAGAAGATCAATCAAAGTGCCTTGCCAGGGAAAGATTAATTACTTCCTTGTGAATTAATCAGTAGTGTACTTGAGTGCTAAACAAACCTGATATGCTGAAATAAAAATGAACGTCAAACAGATGTGCTAACCTGAGATAAACTCTAGCAGACATTATTTTCAGTTAATAACCACGTATATTTATCTTTATTTTAATTATAGAAACTTTTTAGCCCTAAATGTTCTAGAAACTCTATATTTTCTTCTTTCATATCACAGAAATGACTATGGTGTACACAAATAAGAAAAGCATTAACTTTTTTTGGAAAGTTGAAGAAATTTCACTCAAGTATTTCATTACTTTAAGATCAAATGTTATACACTAGATTGGCCGTAACATTTTCAGAGAGTGACTTCATGTGTGAAATGACCACATACAATGAAGAGGTTTTAAAAATTTCAGATGACATAACTTGTTCAGTTGAAGAAAATTAAAATACTGATATAAACTAATTCATTCTCCCCTTCATTTTAGGGGGATTTTCTCTGCAATTAAACTGATATATGGCTAGTAAAGTGAAGACTGATTTGAGTCTCTTCAGCAACATTCTCTTTCACCATTTCTCTTCCAAGCTATTTTATCTCTTCAAATGAAGCTGGAAAATTATAATATACCAGTGGATCAGTAGAAACTTAAAAATATTAATAATTATCCTTTTGGATCCAACTTACTTATAGTGAAAGAGTAACAATGCATTCTTTATTTGAAGACAAGCACAAAAACCCTGGCTTCATAAACATAGACTATTAAAAAATCTCAGAAGTTTAATGTGGCAGACATTTGCTAATATTTCTATATGTCTCCGAACTCTGATTTATAAAAACAGAATAGAGTTTCAGAAAATAAATTGGAAAGCACTTTAAAATCATATCCTCATAAATCATATTTTACCTGAGGTTACTTAAAATTAAGCCGATAGAAACATAGGGCAATATGTAATGGGTTTACAGTAGCCCCTAAGAGGATCTCACTGTTCTAAAATCTCTTAGTTAACACTATATCTGGATATGTAAAATCCTCAAAAGTAGATTTACAACTTGTTCTTTAACAGGGACACATGTGTCTCCATGAATATGCATACAGAAAATTCTTTGAAAATGCAGGCATTATCTGTTCCAATATTGACAATAACCCAGCAGCAACCAATAATGCTGTTTTTTAATTGGGTTTCTGTTTTATGTTTTTTGTTTTGTTTTGTTTTTGTTGTTGTTTGTTTGCTTGTTTTTAACAAATTAGCTACCTTTATTTCTTTTTTTTTTAAATATATATATATTTTTTCCTTTTTTGAGACAAGGTTTCACCATGTTGGTCAGACTTGTCTTGAACTCCTGATCTCAGGTAATCCACCCGCCACAGCCTCCCAAAGTGCTCGGATTACAGGCGTGAGCCACTGCGCCCAGTCAATTAGCTACCTTTAAAGAGCAGGGTTCATGCTAAATAATTTGATGAGGCTGTGGTAGGAGAAAAGGTCTGGAATATAGGCTGTCATCCAAGGAAGACAGAGCTGTATGAACATGACCCTATGGTGAAATAGAATGTTGCTGAAGAGAGTCAAATCAGTCTTCACTTTACTAGCCATATATCAGCTGCATTAAGTGACCCTTAGTCCAGTGGCCACAGTAAAGAGATTGTAATTATAAAATTTAAAAATTACAGAGTCTTGGGATGAAATGAGACAGGATATTTTATTAAATTTGTCTCCTGAAAAAGTAATGATTGGCTTGAGTTTGTTTTCTTTATTTTAAAAAGTAAAGTTAATAGTCTTGGCAAAAGACTTAAGAGAATGAAACTGAGTAATTTCTTCATCTAAACAGCAGATTTTTATCACCCAGGGAACTATATTTTTAAAGCAGTATTAATAAATCCCTCTAGCAAATTTTACAGAAAACCCTTATTCACAAATGTCATATTTATCTCTGTTTTGTAAATTTACAAAGGATTTGCAGAACTATGTGCTATTTTTGGCAATTCACTAGCAAGAAAGAAAGCAGATTGAAGATGTAATACATTTCAAAATATGAAATGGGAACTGCATAAATTAATTCCATTGCTTAAAGACAGCATTTATTTCCTCTAACACTTTACATTCCTATCTGTGGTGCTATGAACTAACACTGAGCAGAGTATTGGCATCAGCTCCATATCACAAAGCTCATTATTGTGTAATATTTCAGAGCAATAGCCTTTCTTTTTGAAGAATCAAAGTATCTTATCATCAGTGTTAGCCTAAAGAGATTGCTGTGCCATGGCCTTCTAAACCAGTTTTTTTTTTCTTTTTAATTAAAACAACACACATACACACACACACACACACACACACACATACACACACACTCACTCACTCACTGTTAAGCATTTCACTGCTATGACACATTAAAACAATACAACTTCATTTCAAGTAAATTATTGTGTTTCTTGCACTTTTAGTAGGGCCTCAGACTGTCCCCAAACAGGACACCTAACGAAAATTTTCTTGGAACATGATTTAGGGGGAGGTTTCAAGTTTAGTAGGAGAACAGTTTGTTAGTATTATTCATAGCAAAAAACACCCTTTAAATATTCACTCAACAATCTGTTAGACTTGTAGAAAAATGGACATTCATTTTTTTTAATTATCTCTACTCTTTTCATACGTTTATTAAAATAATAAGCAGCAAAATATGTAATTTGCTTTACCATTATCATTGCCCATAGACATCTTCATTTTAAAATAAAATCAATTTAGCAAGTTTTAATGCAAAATTTGTGAGTCCTTTATTCTGTAATCATAGAAAAGATATTTAATGGTCAAGATAATAGTGTCAATATAATTAGAAGAAATAAATATTTAGCTTCTAATAGAAATAAGTTATTTTTTAATAAGCCCCTAAGTATGTCAGCTAATACACTGATGCTAGCACTTACATCCTAAACCATAAACAAGATCAGCTTCTGTTAAGAACTCTGTGTTTGAACACTTTTTAAAACAACTACTAATTTCTAGATATAATTGGGATTTATAAAGCTATATTTAATGTTAAATGTTTTATAATTTCTAACACATACCAATTCTTCTCCTCTTATTTTCAACAATATTCCATTTGAGTCCCATTCAGTTAGAATTTTGCTTCAGGGTTAGATGTGCACTGCGGATGCTTATGCTGAGCTTACTCTTTAATTGTTGCTATGCAATCCTCTGTGAAAGAGGATTAGTAACACCTGTCATGTGCAAATGAATCATCAACTCTTTGTAGTTTATAAAAATGATACTTATTTCATTTCTATATTCTTACCATTTAACAGGGCATGATAGACCTACAAATAAAATAATAATTTATAAAGTAAAAAAGATCAGTGGCACCTTTGCTTAATGTATATTTGTTACTTACTGGAGATTGGCTCTTAGTTCATTTCACAAGTAAATAAAATCACAACTATGTATTTCTACCAGGAGTCAGTATGTTGTGCATATATACAAAGTAAATAAAGATGGCTCAGTGACACAAAGTATAGGAAAATGTTTCATACTCAGAACAAATGTAAATTATTTATTCCAAGTATAAAATTGAAAATGGAGTTAGCAGATGTTTAGGACTGCCTGAACTTGCTGACTCAAAAATCTTTAATATTTTTGTATTGAAAATACATATAATATACAGCATCTACATTTGTACAGAGAAAAAGTTGATGTTATGTTGTCATTGGTTCCATATGTTTAGCCTTAGATTATATCATAATGTTTAACCAATCCATTTCCCTTATTTTTTGAAGTTTCAAAAATAGAGGAATAAAATACCAAGATAGGGAAGCTATTTTGTTCTAAAGCCTAGATGCTTTATTTGAATTATACATCCCTGCAATTCATAATGCTCAAAATAACCTTTCAAAATGTCCAGTTTATATTACCGTATTTATGTTTATGTCAGGTATTTGGCCCGTTTTTTTTCGTATTGCTTTATGGCTATTACTTTTCTCTCACATGTATCATATGCTTTTTTGTACCTATGTTCTTTTATGTATATAACATATATGGTGCGAATTGTAGCTACTTTCAATTTCAAAAATATTCTGAGAAATGTATACCTTATCAAATTTTCTATTTCCTGAAATTGTAAATCAGCAGGGTTGGTCGCTACATGTTCAAGATAATACGTTTAATGAAGTTTTATTTAATATCAACTCTATAGTCCTTTTAAAGACTTCAACATCTTTGGAATTTGCAAAACACAGATTTCGTGCCTTCTGTCTGAAGACAAAATGTGACGTGAATACCTTTCTAAACAGTAACATGGCGCAGGCATGTGATTTCAGTATGTTATTGAAAACGTCAGACACACTCTCCTACATTGGAGTCAGGATCTCTTATTTCCTCAGGAAGAAAATAACTGTCAATGTTTTTTATCTCTACTAAAAATAAAAATAAAATCTGGATAATAATTTTTGTATATTAGAAAAAAATTATACCTCCATAAATAAATGAATAAAATAAAATAAATTGGCTGTTTATATACAAATAAATATACAGGTATACATAAATGGGAAATTCTATCTATGCCTTAACAAAGTCACTATAATAAATTTCATTCAAAGTAGTTATGATCATACATTTCAAATATTATCAACTGCTACATATATGCTGTCCATCTAATTCTGGATTTTTAGCTTTTAAAAACTGTGTCACTGTTTCCAATAACATAATGAATTAGCCCATGTTAGTTATTATGGCTATGACTGCTTGAATCGCAAACAAAGTAAACCCATTTATATTGAAGGACCAGAGAGGTATCACTTACTAGATTCAGGATCGGAGTTGCCATCCCCTTCAGTGCGATTGCTGGGCGTAGCATGATCAAAGTATTCCTCCTGAGGATAGCCAAGGGGCAGGGCATGGGATGTGCTCTGAAGGCTGCCTGCGTCATGGTCTCCAAGTCCACCATCACTACTGCTTTCCTGAGAGCCTTCTGGCAGGTGAAATGTGACACGCCGCTGGGACTGAAAGGGAGAATGAAAATTACAGGGTTTCAGATATGATCTGAATAATTGCTTAATGTCTGCAATTTACAAAATGAATTATTTCAGCTATCTGCTAAAGACACATTAACATTATCTTGAGTTGTGTACAATTTCAGGCTTCTGTGATAAGCAATTCTGTGTTCAAATCTTCTTCATCTGAAGGTAGTGTTGCTTCCCTTATATTTCAGAACAAGGCATAACCGATGCAGAATGAAAGCCAACTTGCTCTAAAGCAAGAGACAGCTGGCTTTACATCATATTTGAACAAACTGGAAATGCCAATCATCATTTTAACATGTATTTATTTAGCTATTATTTGACAATAACTTATTTTTGAATAATACGTGTGGATAAATATAACCATACTTTTTTGCTGTATCTGTAAGTTGCTAGTGGGTTGAAACTGTAAATAATAACAGATTTATTCAATCATGTAGGCTTAGAAAACTAAAAGTACATTATCTTTAGCAAAATCTTAGGAACAGAATTTTGAATTGGAATTCATTTAAGTTGATTTCACTAACGAAACAAAAATAATTACATAATATGGATAACAGTTGATGGTAATTATAAAATCAAACTATAGTTATCATCATAAATGGTATTCCTAGCAGAATATAAAAATATATATACATGTAAAAATATAAACATGAAGCACTTGGATTCCAAAAGAAGAAGTTTGTAACATCTTCACCAGATCTTGTAGCAGCATTTTTGCTTACAGCATTGCTATGCTATATGTAGTAGTCTCCAAAAATAGGCTCTCCAGTGGACATCACTATTCAGATTTTCATGTAGCCTGAGACCACATTAAATCTGAGCAGGCCATGTGAAATCAAACCTTGTAGCTTCTGCTTTGCAACCTTGGAAAACTCATCCTGGAAAATCAAGCTAGCTGCGTGGAAAGCCTGTATAAAAAGAGATTTGAATGCTGAGAGAGGCCCACCTGTTCCAGCCACTCAAGTTCAGGTGCCAGATATGTACATGAAGAATCCATTATGAACATTCCAGCTTCAAGTAATTTGAAACTTTCATGCTGCCAGTAGTTTAGTGCTTTGGTTGATCTATTGTTCTGTAGTGAGCCACCAGTAATCTTTGGAGACATAAAAACCAATAGTCCTTCTTAATTTTTAGGTCAGGAATTTAGGTAGTGTACAGCAAATATAGCTATTTCAGCTCCACAATGGCTGCTAGCTTAAGTAGGGGGTTCTCAAATGTCTGAAGATGATTAGGATGACTCCAATAAAGCCACCAGCTGGAATGTTCATAATGGGTTCTTCATGTACGTATCTGGCACCTGAACTTGAGTGGCTGGAACAGGTGGACCTCTCTCAGCATTGAAGTCTCTTTTTATACAGACTTTCCACGCAGCTAGCTTGAGCTTCCCCACAGTATGGCATGCTCCCAGTACTCAAACTACTTTCAATGCAGCTGCTATTTTCCATGGTGAGTTTTCCAAGGTTGCAAAGCAGAAGCTACAAGGTTTGATTACACATGGCTTGCTCAGATTTAATGTTTAGAGATTTACATACATGGAAGATTACAACAATTTAAGTCCTAGGCATTTTCACGACAGAATGCATACATTTTCACAAATTCAGGTCTAACAGCCATTTCTTCAGATGGAGCTATTAAAAGATTTCAATATCATACTTCAAACTTATTGAAAGATATATGAAAATATAATAGATGCATATAATATTTAAGTAGCTCACTTGAATCTTCTTTAATTTTTAGCCATTATTTTTTATATTAAAATCTCTATAAAATATGAGGAAATGACTAATGTATGTAATATGTAATACAATATATCTTATGGAATAGGTTTATGATCATAAAATTATTCCTAATGAGAAATAGTCTGCTGATTTTCTACATGTAAGTGCTGAAATAAAGAAAAGCTTGCTGGAATTAAGTAATATTGAGGAGTTCAGAAGGCAGGGGTTTTTGTTGTTGCTTGTTTTGTTTTTTGAGACAGGGTCTCTCTCTGTCATCCAGGATAGAATACAATGGCCCAAGCTCGGCTCACTGCAACCAATAACTCTTAGGCTCAAGTGACCCTCCCACCTCAGCCTCCCAAGTAACTGGAACCACAGGTGCATACCATCACGCTAAGCTAATTTTTTGTATTTTTAGTAGAGATGGGGTTTCACCATGTTGCCCAGGCTGGTCTCAAATTCTTGAGCTCAAGCAATCCACCTGACTAGGCCACCCAGAGTGCTGGGATTACAGGTGTGAGCCACCTCACTCAGTCTTGGTTTTAGTATTTTGGGGGGTGGGTGTTGGGTTGTGTGGAAACTGTGAAGAGTGAGATTGACTCTATTATCTGAGGAAACCGCATTGTACCTTCTAAGATTTAAAGCATTTATCAGGGAAATAATGTAACTGAAATATCTTTTTGTATGCTTTTGCCCAGTCAATATCCCTTTTTCTGTTTATCTCTGTATCTAGAACCCACAGTGAAAACAGCAAAATAAAAGCTTCAGGTCATCTTCTGATCATGTCTATACAGACATAATCTGAATGTTACCCTGTGTTACATGGTATTAAAATACATGGATTATCCAGCCTGTCAGTCAGCTATTATTTATTACTACTAAAGATACTTAGTAGGGAGCTACTGAAATAATCATCAATGCTGTATTCTTCAAAAGCAGAGTTTAATAAAAGTTTATAAAAAGTTTAGCTGCTTTAACTCTAAAGTCTCAGAGTACTAAATAAGCCCTTGTGAAACTGCCTTTGCAAAATTATGACTGAGACAGTGAAAGGTATCTAAGCTAACCCACTCCATCTTGCTTCTAACCTCCAAGCTGTCCTTGTCCATTCCTGGGCAAAGGCTGAGCTAACTTTGGGAGAAACTTAGTTTATAGTTTAAAACGAAGATGATAAAAGACCTTTCCCAAAGCAGAACTCCTTCTTGCCTGGGGACTAGATTGCCTTTGTAGGACTAACATTAGCCACAAGGTTAGAAACTATGGTTTAGGACTCATGCAGCTGGAGGATACAAGATTCTGACCCTCCCTAAACTGCTCCTAACATCAGTGCTTAAGATATTTTGCATGTCCTGCTGCACCACCCAGATCAATAAACTGGCTCATCTGATCTAGTGGCCCCCTAACCAGAAACTGACTCAGCCCAAGAAGACAGCTGTCAATCTCTACAATTTCATCCCCAACCAATCAGCACTCCTGGCTCACTGGCTTCCCCACACACACCGAGTTGCCCTTATAAACTCCTCACAAAATGCTCAGGGAGACTGGTTTGAATAATAATAAAACTCTGAACTCCCACACAACCAAATCTGTGTGAATTATTCTTTCTCTACTGCAATTCCCCTGTCTTGATAAATTGGCTCTGTCTAGGCAGTGGACAAGGTGAACCCATTGGGTGGTTAGACTTGCATTATTGCAAATAAACAAACTGAAACACTGTCAATAGCTTGACGGATTTCTGTAGAAGTTCATAATACATAAAAAATTTACAATATTTAAAGGAACTATAATCAGAGTGAACAGGCAACCTATGGAATGGAAGAAAATTGTTTCAATCTATCCATTTAACAAAGGGCTAGTATCGAGAAACTACCAACAACTTAAACAAATTTACAAGAAAAAAACCAACAACCCCATGAAAAAGTGGGCAAAGGATATGAACAGATACTTGTCAAAAGAAGACATTTATACAGCCAACAAACATGAAAAAAACCTCATCATCACTAGTCATTAGAGAAATGCAAATCAAAACCAAAATGAGATACCATCTCATGCCAGTTAGAATGGTGATCATTAAAAAGTCAGGAAACAACAGATGCTGGAGAGGATGTGGAGGAACAGAAACACTTTTACACTGTTGGTGGAAGTGTAAATTAGTTCAACCATTGTGGAAGACAGTGTGGCGATTCCTCAAGGACCTAGAAATAGAAATTCCATTTGACCCAGCAATCCCATTACTGGATATATACCCAAAGGATTATAAATCATTCTACTCTAAAGATACATGCACATGTTCACTGTGGCACTGTTCACAATGGCAAAGACTTGGAACCACGCCAAATGTCCATTAATGATAGACTGGATAAAGAAAATGTGGCAAATATATGCCATGGAATACTATGCAGCCATAAAAAAGGATGGGTTCACATCCTTTGCAGGGATATGGATAAAGCTGGACACCATTATTCTCAGCAAACTAACACAGGAACAGAAAACCAAACACATGTTCTCACTCATAAATGGGAGTTGAACAATAACACATGGACGCAGAAAGGGGAACATTACACACCAGGGCCTGTCAGGGGATTGGGGCTAGGGGAGGGAGAGCATTGGGAGAAATCCCTAATGTAGACGACAGGTTGATGGGTGCAGTAAAACACCATGGCATGTGTATACCTATGTAACAAACTTGCACATTCTGCACATGTATCTCAGAACTGGAAGTATAATTTTTTAAACATCACAACATTTATCTACAATTTTAAGAATGATTATCTAATCATCCTCTAAGATCCCTCTTATAACCATTGAATTGAAGGGTCAGCAAACTTTTTCTGTGAAGAATTAGATAGTAAATATTTTAGGCTTTGTGGGGCGTATAATAAAGTCTCTGTCTCAACTACTTAAACCTAATGTTGTAGTGTAAAAACAGCCATAGACAATATGAAACTGAACAGAACTGCCTGTGTTCCAATAAAACTGTACTTATGGATGTTAAAATTTAAATTTTTGATACTTTTATGTATTATTAAATATAATGCTTTGCTTGAACTTCTTCAATCATTTGGCTCTAAAGGCCATGGTTTGAAGACCTCTGATCTAGAAGGCTAATTTTGTCAATATGGTAAAGCTGGTTAAAGATAATTATTGTGCAGTATAAAAGGGCTACTACATTAATATTCATGTCATAATTTGTTCATGACAAACTTCTGTCTTTAGCCCTGCAGAGAAGCTGTGTCATAGAAATTAAAACAAATCTATCGACTG